TTTGTAATGTTTAGCACTTTTGTAACTCTATTTGGCGGTGTCGGTGAGGTGGCCTATGGTTTTGCACACTTAAATGATTTAGTTGATGCCTTGGATGCATTTTGTCCTGCTGTGACGAAAATTATATCCTTCTTTAAGGCATCCATTATTTTCATGAATCGTCGACGATTTAATGACATTATGGAACGTGTACGAACATTAATTATGAATGGTAAGTAGGGACATATGAAGATTAAATAATTTCCTAATATCTATGACATTCACATATCCGCATCTGCAGAACAACACGATGCCAAGAAAATGAAAATAGTTCAGAGATTTTCTTCGTTTGGTAACATTTGTACACTCATCATTGTTTCGGGTGGCACATCGACAAATATTTTCTATAATTTGCGAGCGATCATCACGGATTTGATTTATCATTTTCAGGCGGGAAATCGTACATTGGAGTTGCCATTTAAGGCATTGTGAGTCAAATATTTAAATTTGAATTTCTTTTTAAATGTAAACTAAAACATTTCTTCTAGGCTACCAGAAGCTGCTGCCACATTTCCATATTTTCCTTTTACGTTTCTCATCCTAACCTTTTCCGGTCTGATGACAGTATTTTCATTCAGCATCGTTGATGGTTATTATGTTTGTACAACCGTGTTTATTTGTTCGATATTTAAAATAATACAACGTGATGTGCACAGTACATTTGAGGAGTTGAAGGAATGTGAGTATTCACAACAAATATTCTATTTTTAAGAAATTATGATAAAACTTAAAATATTTTTTAGAAATCCTGCTTTTAAAAATATTCTTTAAAAAATCCACGTCTTGCGGTAGTCCTTAAAAAATATTCTTTAAAAATTCCACGCCTTGTTCTGACCCATACAAATCTTATTTAAACCATCAAGGAAAGTAGTAAAGTCGGACGGGCCGACTATATAATACCCTTCACTACTTTAGGTATATTCAACAGATTAAGCATTTTAAAAGGATCAGTAAAATTAAATTGGATCCATAAACATGTCTTTCAAAATATTTCATTAGGTCAGATACAGAAGCTATATCTAAATCTGAACCGATTTCAGGAAACTTACCACACATCATTTCAGACCTAATTCATTACACTGTGTCAAATTCCGAAAAATATTAAGGGACTTTGGTACACTATTTACCTTAAATCGGACGAAACTATATATGGGAGCTATATCTAAAGCTGAACCGATTTTCACAAAACTTAGCACACCTTATTATAGCCCTAATTCAGTACCCTACGCCAAATTTCGTGCAAATCGAAAGATATTTGGGGACTTTTGTACACCATTTAACTTAAATCGTACGAAAATATATATGAGAGTTAAATCTAAATCTGAACCGATTTTGATGAAACTTAACACACATCTTTCTGCACCTAATATATTACCATATGCCAAATTTCGTGCAAATCGAAATATATATATATTGACTTTCGTATACCATTTACCTTAAATCGGACGAAAATATGTATGGGAGCTATATCTAAATCTGAACCGATTTTCATGAAACTTAACACACATCGTTCTGCACTTAATATATTACCCTATGCCAAATTTCGTGAAAATCGAAAGATATATAGGGACTTTGGTGGACTATTTACCTTAAATCGGACGAAAATATATATGAAAGCTATATCTAAATCTGAACCGATTTTCATGAAACTTAACACACATCATTCTAGACCTAATTCAGTACCCTACGCCAAATTTCGTGCAAATCGAAAGATATATAGGGACTTTGGTGGACCATTTACATAAAATCGGACGAAAATATATATGAAAGCTATATCTAAGTCTGATCTGATTTTCATGAAACTTAACACACATCATTCTAGGCCTCATACATTACGCTGTGCGAAATTTCGTGCAAATCAAAAGATATATAGGGACTTTGGTGGACCATTTACATAAAATCGGACGAAAATATATATGGGTGCTATATCTAAATCTGAACCTTTTTTTCCAAATTTCAATAGAGTTCGTCCGTGGGCATAAGCTACGCCAAATTTCATCCAATCATTAATGCGACCTGTACTTTGTTTACAATTTAACATGGACAGAAGGGGGGCGGACATGCACAAATTGACTTAAAAAGTGATTCTATGCACATTCTCAAAAGGAACCATGTATCTATCTCGTTTCCTTTTGCGTGTTACAAACATATGCACAAAGATACATTACTTCGTACCACAGTGTGGTGAAGGGTATAAGAAAATATGCCTGTAGAAACCCACGCCTCGTTCTGACCCCTAAAAATATTGTTTACAAAATACACGCCTTGTTCTGACAATTAAAAATATTGTTTACAAAATACACGCCTTGTTCTGACCCTTAAAAAATATCATTTAAAAACTCCACGCCTTGTTCTGACCCTTAAAAATGTTCTTCAAAAAATCCACGCTTCTGGCCCTTAAAAAATCCACGCATTGTTCTGACCCTGAAAAAAATTGCCTTTAGAAAATCCACGCATTGTTCTGACCCTTAAAAATAGTCTTTAAAAAATCCACGCATTGTTCTGACCCTTAAAAAATATTCTTAAAAAAGTCCACGCCTTGTTTAGGTCCTTGAATGAATCCCTAAAAAATATTCTTAAAAAAATCCACGCCTTAGTTAGGTCCTTGAATGAGTCCCTAAAAAATATTCTTAAAAAAATCCACGCCTTAGTTAGGTCCTTGAATGAGTCCCTAAAAAATATTCTTAAAAAAATCCACGCCTTAGTTAGGTCCTTGAATGAGTCCCTAAAAAATCCACGCCTTAGTTAGGTCCTTGAATGAATCCCTAAAAAATATTCTTAAAAAAAAATCCACGCCTTAGTTAGGTCCTTGAATGAATCCCTAAAAAATATTCTTAAAAAAAAATCCACGCCTTAGTTAGGTCCTTGAATGAGTCCCTAAAAAAATATTCTTAAAAAATCCACGCCTTGTTTAGGTCCTTGAATGAGTCCCTAGAAAAATAATCTTAAAAAAATCCACGCCTTGTTTAGGTCTTTGAATGAGTCCCTAAAAAAATATTCTTAAAAAATCCACGCCTTGTTTTGACCCTTGAAAACATTCTTTAAAAAATCCACGCCTTGTATGAGTCCCTAAAAAATATTCTTAAAAAAATCCACGCCTTGTGGTAGTCCTTAAAAAATATTCTTTAAAAATGGGAGTCTTTGAAAAAATAATTTCTAAAAATCCACGCCTTGTGGTAGTCCTTAAAAAATATTCTTTAAAAATTTGACGCCTTTTATGAGTCCCTAAAAAATATTCTTTAAAAATCCACGCCTTGTATGAGTCCCTGAAAAAATATTCTTTAAAAAATCCCTAAAGTAGTTCTCTTTAAAATACTTCGTGGTCCATTAAAAATTACTTCTATCCATTTGCACGTTTCGAAATCAATAAATTTTTATATGGAGCATCGGTAACCCAATTTCTAATAGTTGCAATTCCCCCTTCACTTTATTTCCATTCATTCGTTTCTTTTTTGCTTCTTTTTTTTTGTTTTTGTTCTTTAGGTGAACATGCAACCGAAGAACAAAATCACCGAATCCGCCAAAAATTGAATGCCATCGTCGAACGTCATAATACGATTATCGATTTGAGTGCGGATTTTACAGCAAGTTTTACCGTTATCATAATGTTACATTTTATGTCGGCAGCCATCGTTGTGTGTTCGAGTATTTTGGATTTAATGTTGGTAAGTTAAGGCAACAATAACAACAACAACAAAAATGGCTTCGAACAATAGACTGAGGTAAATGAAGCGCATAACAAAAAAAATCAAAATTTATTATTGAAACCGTAGTGAAGAACTGCTGCCGCAATGATGGGCACTTGAAGGTTATTCATGGTCGTATTGAATAATAAATTGAAAAAATGGATTTTTTTCAAAATCATATTTTTTCCTCCTGGCCTGGGAAATCCTGCCTGTCCTTATCATCATTGGGTCAGGCTGCCTCATATTTTTTTTTTCATTTCAATTCCTTGGGCTTAATGACATTGAAGTTCGGCCTTATGTGCTTCTTAAGCCACAAGTTTATTGTTTCTAAACTCAAATTTTTCTTCGAGTGTAATCCTATAGTTTATTATTCCAACTAACCGCCCAATGCAAGGTTCCTTCAAGATAAACTCTTGCCCACATAGACACCCACACACACAGAGAGGAAGGAGCATCATACCATTATTTATGTAGCCATAAAGTGTTTTTCTTTTCGCACTTTTTATTCAATTCTGGTGTTTGTCTTGATGTTCTTCGTTGCACTTTGTGCAAAAGTTAGCTTCGAAAGCGGGAGGGTACGGGCGGAACGTCTTTGATGATTGCCCTAATTATTTTCCCTTGCTTTACTCGTTTTTTTCATGATCTAGTTTTTTATGTTTTTATTATGGCATTTTCGTTCAGCAAGTTTCCGTTCATCGTCAACATCACCACAGCTCCCTTCTACAACTCCTTCCTCGCCGCTGAAACTTAAACGATGAATGATGAAAACACGCAACTTAAATTACTTTAACTTTTTAATCCCATTTCTTTTGGTATTGACCAAGTCGAGGACTACTTAAGCGCTCTATTCCCAACAACACACACTTTTTTCTTCTTCTTAATGATTGTTTCGGCTGCTGTTGCGCTAAACATGCCGTTGGGCTATTAAGACGCTTTGAAAACTGCGATAAAAATAAGCTATAATTTCACAAAAGATGGAAAGGAAATTTGCAATAAAACTAACATTAAATTGCATTAAAAGCTGAAAAGTTTTTGCGTAAAAAGCAACAACAACAAAATACCAACTTGTTGCAGTAATAAAGGTATCTGGAAAGGATTTTCGTCGATGCGAGATTATAATGGAGATTTTAAAAAAGGATTTCAAGGCATAAAATGGAATTTCAATAATTTCAATTTTAATTAGCAAAGAAATAAAATTGATCGAACATCAATCGTGTAGCTCATCTCGAAAGATAACTTCATAAAATCGCAGTTAAATTCTTGCGGACCGGAATTTTGATACCCTCAACCTTGTGTCTACTTTAAAAATGCCTTAAATCGGTCGGAAGCTTTATATGGGGATTTATGTTATTACATTCTGTGTTAGTAGGTAGTCCACGCCTTGTATAGCCCTTGAAAAAATATTCTTAAAACATCTACGCCTTGTATAGCCCTTGAAAAAATATTCTTAAAACATCTACGCCTTGTATAGCCCTTGAAAAAATATTCTTAAAACATCTACGCCTTGTATAGCCCTTGAAAAAATATTCTTAAAACATCTACGCCTTGTATAGCCCTTGAAAAAATATTCTTAAAACTTCTACGCCTTGTATAGCCCTTGAAAAAATATTCTTAAAACATCTACGCCTTGTATAGCCCTTGAAAAAATATTCTTAAAAAAATCTACGCCATGTATAGCCATTGAAAAAAATATTCTTAAAAAAATCTACGCCTTGTATAGCCCTTGAAAAAATATTCTTAAAAAAAATCTACGCCTTGTATAGCCCTTGAAAAAATATTCTTAAAACATCTACGCCTTGTATAGCCCTTGAAAAAATATTCTTAAAAAAATCTACGCCATGTATAGCCATTGAAAAAAATATTCTTAAAAAAATCTACGCCTTGTATAGCCCTTGAAAAAATATTCTTAAAAAAAATCTACGCCTTGTATAGCCCTTGAAAAAATATTCTTGAAATATTCCACGCCTAGTATAGCCCTTGAAAAAATATTCTTAAAAAAATCTATGCCTTGTATAGCCCTTGAAAAAAATATTCTTAAAAAAATCTACGCCTTGTATAGACTTTGAAAAAATATTCTTAAAAAATCTACGCCTTGTATAGCCCTTGAAAAAAATATTCTTAAAAAAATCTACGCCTTGTATAGCCTTTGAAAAAATATTCTTAAAAAATCTACGCCTTGTATAGCCCTTGAAAAAATATTCTTAAAAAATCTAAGCCTTGTATAGCCCTTGAAAAAATATTCTTAAAAAAATCTACGCCTTGTATAGCCCTTGAACAAATATTCTTAAAAAATCTACGCCTTTGCTAAGCCTTCAACAAATATTCTTAAAAAAATCTACGCCTTGTATAGCCCTTGAAAAAATATTCTTAAAAAAATCTACGCCTTGTATAGCCCTTGAAAAAATATTATTAAAAAATCCACTCCTCTTGTATGGCCCTTGAATAACTATTCTTAAAAAATCCACGCCTCTTGTGGGAGCCTTGAAAAAATATTCTTTAAAAAATCCACGCCTCTTGTGGGAGCCTTGAAAAAATATTCTTTAAAAAATCCACGCTTCTTGGCGACTATTAAAAAAACTATTCTTTAAAAAAATCCTCGCCTATTGATGACTCTTAAAAAAATTTGAAATTTATATAAAAAGCTTTTAGCAGGCGTTTATCTGTATAGGTCCATGTTCAGATCCCATTTTCGGTATTAATTTTTTTAAACGAATTTCCTCACCGAAGTGGCTACATTTTTCCAGAATTAATTAATTAATGTTTTAAAGCAGCCTCCATACAAATATCCCGTTTAAAAATGGGTATATTGAACATCCTGCCTCAGTTTAGCAATCTGAGTATCTGAAATATTATATTTTCATTTTTGAAATATTTTCAAAATTTGCAATATTATATTTTCATAGCATACATAGTCTCCATATAATGCCCTGATACGATATGAGGATTTTCAATGTAATGTTTGTAGGGTGTAAAATAGTTATTAGGCCCGGTCGGAGAACATAAGATTTCGAATATACAATATTATTTGTAAAATTTATTTCATGTTCATGTTACCATTGCCACAGAGCACAATACCCATAATATAGTGTCCATTTACTTCTGATCTGTTGTTGTTTTCCTCTTTCCAACTCATTTTTAAGGTAAAGGATTGTGGGATAATACAAAATTAACAATGAAAATAAAACAGTTTTCATGCCACCAATGTCCTTGCATATTTAACATTATCCAATGAATTTATTATGCATTGTTTAGCCATTTTTAATTTGTTCGTAATGACCATGGTCAGTAGCACTGGCACTAGCACAATAAACAATGGACAATAGTAAGGACACAATTACCATCACTATCCAACACAAATTCCATTCTCATGTTGTTTGTGTTTTTTTTTCTTGTTTCTTTTTTATTTTTATCCTATTTTGCAGAATACCAATTCGGTGGGACTGTTTATCTATATATCGTACAATATTGCTGCTTTGGCCCAGTTATTTGTGTACTGTGTTGGCGGTACTTTTGTCAGTGATAGTGTAAGTATTTGGGTTTTTTTTTTAATAGCTATTAAAAATAGATTTATTACATACTAATTATGTAACATGAAAATGCGGCTAAACCCTTTACAAACAATGAGCGGTATTTTTATATAGAAGCTATGTGAAAACATATAGCCTAAGATCCTTGAATGATCCTTGAAAAATTTTACGAAAATCATACAAATATCTATAATGAACCGATAAATTTGTATGTGTGCAATGTCCAAATATGGAACCAACTCGGCAGGAAAATACGGCTAATATATTAAACATTGTGAAAAACTTAAACCTATATAGAAAATTTTCTGCAAAAATATGTTTCCCCCTCCTATAATTATTGGGATATCTTTGGGAAAACGGGGCTAAAACTTTCAAAACACCCAGAAGGAGCGGTACCCTTTAATATGGAGGCTATGTCCAAACATGAATCTCTTCGTCACATTTTTCGAATTTTTTCCAATTCCAATCGGCTAGAATATGAGGCACAGACGCATGCCAATGGAAGAACATACTCATGCCATTCTGCAACCTATGATAAATCTGAATTGATTTTCCCGAAACTCACCACTCACTATTCTATACTCAATTCAGTGCAAATAGAAGGATATATAGGGATTTTGGTACCCCATTTATCGGACGAAATATATATATGGGAGCTATATATAAATCTGACCCGATTTTCTCGAAACTTGACTCACGTCATTCTAGACTCAATTCAGTATCCTACGCCAAATTTCGAGCGAATCGAATGATATATACGGACTTTGGTGCACCATTTACATAAAATCGGACAAAACTATATATGGGAGCTATATCTAAATCAGAACCGATTTTCACGAAACTTAGCACACATTATTCTGGACATAATTCAGTACCCTATGCCAAATCTCGTGCAAATCGAAAGACTTTGGTGCCCCATTTACCTTAAATCGGACGAAAATAAATATAGGAGCTATATCTAAATCTCACCCGATTTTCTCGAAATTTGGCACACTTCATTCCAGCTCAATTCAGTATCCTATGCCGAATTTCGTGCAAATCGAATAATGATCGAATGACTTTGGTGCACCATTTACATAAAATCGGACAAAACTATATATGAGAGCTATATCTAAATCTGAACCGAAACTTTGCACACGTCATTATAGACTTAATTCAGTACGCTAAGCCAAAATTCGTGCAAATCAAATGATTTCCAGGAACTTTGGTGGACTATTTACCTAAAATCGGGCGAAACTATACACGGGAGCTATATCTAAATCTGAACCGATTTTCACGAAATTTAGCACACATCATTCTGGACCTAATTCAGTATTCTATGCCAAATTTCGTGCAAATCGAAAGATATATAGGAACTTTGGTGCCCATTTACCTTTAATCGGACGAAAATATATATGGGAGCTACATTTAAATTAGAATCGATTTTCTTGAATTTCAATAGAGTTCGTGCTTAGACCAAATAAGTGACTTGTGCCAAATTTAGCAATTTAATATCTACAGACGGACGGACATGTTTAGATCGACTTAGAAAGTGATTCTATACATATTCTCAAAAGGAACCATGTGTCTATCTCGTTTCCTTTTGCCTGTTACAAACATATGCACAAAGACATAATACACAGAAGGGTATAAAAATTGTATGGGAATATGCGGCGTAAACCTTCGAAATGTATCGCTGTATCATATATTAAAATATTTAAATACATCAGAATTTTTTAGCAAAACTACGCTATTAAATTCTAAAAAAAACTACAAAATATCAAAAATAGTGCGGAACATTAAAATAGGATATTTTTATAGAGTCTAAAATTTGTCATACCGTTGAAATATTCACCTGAAACCCCCAAACTATATATTATTGATCAAAATTCTATGTCGATCTAGACATGTTCGTCTGTCTGTCCGCATAACTTGTTACTACTCCCACGATATTAAATTTGGGACATAGCGGTCAATTTTTCGGGTAGTCCGGTACTCCCAAATATTAGGCATTTTTAGGCTTTTTGGTACATTTTTGAATATAATCAACTATACTTTGGTATTTTCGGTTCTTACTGAAAAAAATCTTCTTACTAAAAATTATCAATATTGGACCACTTTATAAGATAACCCCCATGCTACGGCAATATTCGGGACTTTTATTTTTATTCACGTTTTTCAAACTATTTACCTACCGCTACCGGTCACAGTTATAGACCAATCATCACAAAATTTTGTATATATGACCTATCCTGCCAAAAAAGACCCCTATGCAATGGATCAAAAACTTTATTTCTGGTCGCTCTATATTAACCCCTAAAGAACATAGACCCGATAAATTAATAGTATGTCCAAGAGAAGTTGTTGAACTTTATATTGTTGCCAATTATGCTGATGTATGTAATCGGATGTGGGAGTTATACGTAAATATTTTTAAGAGTATACGAATTCTGACATTGATTATTCTTACAATTACTAAAAAATAACAATGGCTAGGAAAATTTGGTTAATTTTCCGCCAATAATTTCTGGTATGAGACGGACCGAACAAATTTATCATTGGGAAGGCGATCTGACCAACTAATCCGAATGACTGTCACAATATTTAAAGAATGAAATGATTAAAGATGTGTAACATGATAAAATTTGAATCTTACCTGCTCAGTGTTTTTATACCCTACACAACTATGTTGTCAGGGTATTATAGCTTTGTGCAGCCGTCGAGCGTCCGTCCGTCCGTCTGTCCATTATAATTTGTAAACACGATACAGGGCACAGTTATGGACCAATCTTCATGAAATTTTCCATGTAGGATGGGTTCTGGCCAATGAAGACCCCTATTGTTTTTGATAAAGATCGGTTAATATTTAGGGGATGAAATGGTCCAAATACTAAAGTTATGGCCCGAACATCGTGAAATTTTACATGGAGAAGGGGATCGGGCCTAAGAATAAGCCTGCCTGTTTTGATAACGATCGGTCAGTATTTAGCGGATCAAATGGACCCTGACTCCTGAAGGACATAGACCCGAGAAGTTGATATTATATCCAAGAGGAGTGGTTGATCTTTAAATTAAGACCAATTATATTGTTGTATGTGCTCGGATGTGGGAGTTACACCTAAATATTTGCAGGTATCTCCGTATTCGTATATTATATTGTAACCCATTATCACTCTAGAGAGCGAAACTATAGCGCTGATCGCTTTGAAATGTTCCATGAGGTTCCAGGTATGGTCAAGGACTACGCCTATAATTTTCGGTGATGATCAGATAATAATTTTGGAATGAAGTGGACCGAAAACTTTTCGAGTCGATCTGTAGACCACAAATGAAAGTCGAACATCACAACACAACCCACGGTGAAGGGAATCTGGACAATAGCTGTACTGAATACTCGTAATATTCGGAAAATATGTCAGTGTGAGGAAGAGGTGCTGTCACGAAATATTGCCCAGGCTCGGAATAAACATCCGCAGAAAATTTGAGTTCCGTGATAGTTGTGTAGGGTATGGTATGGTCGGCCCGTCCGACTATACTACTCCACTCACTGTTTTTTTATAATTCACTTATCGGTAATATATAATTATGTATCTAAGAATCAGATCGGTCAATAGATCTTCCGAAGAAATTTCCTCTCAAACACTCCAAGAGCAGCCTCATCTGCTTGCGCAAGTACCCATGCCCATAGTCGACGAACAGGTGGAATGTGTCGATGTTTTTTCGTGGGTCTTTTCCAGGATTTAACGCAGAGTGAAAATCTGGTCAATTGGAAGATTTGCCAGGCCTAACGCCGCATTGGTATGATCCAATACTGTCATTGACCATTGGCTTCAGTCGTTCTCAAAGCACGCTGGATAGCACTTTATATGCGATGGAAAGGAGACTTATTCCTCTATAGTTGGCACATATTGTCTTATCTCCTTTTTTGTGCACGGACACAGAATGCTCAGGTTCCAATCATTGGGCATGCATTCCTCTAGCCAAAGTGTACTAATCAGTTGGTACATGCTCCCGAACAGCATTTGACCACCGGTCTTGAATAGTTCGACTTGTAACCTATCGACACCTGCTGCTTTATTGTTCTTTAGCCGATTAATTGTTACTTTAATTGCTAGGTGATATACACTCTATACAATCCTCTCTTATTGGTTGTGGTTCATTTTCTTCACCGCCACTACTTGTTGCCAGAAGCTTTGCAAAATTCTCCTTCCAGATCCTCAACACGCTGTCTGTATCTGTCACCAGGTTTCCATTTTCATCTCTACAGGAGGATGTGCCTGCACCAAAGCCTTGGATTTGATGCATTACTCGTTGGTAAAATTTCCCTATGCGCTGCGTTTTTCATATCAGTAGCATTACGACACTACCGATCGTACCGCGGGTTTCTTGATGGTAGTTTTTGAAACCCAAGTGTTGCTTTTGCTGCAGTTTTGTTGGGATTGGACAATTCTTTGTCATTGTGCTTCTATATTATTATCGGGACAAATAGTGCTTTCGTCAAGCAAGAGGCTAAGCTGAGCGGCAACGTCGACGTTGATTTTTCGTGTTACATTAGATAGCACCTTTGCTGCTATATTAAGACGGCTGTCACAGTCCATGAAAAAATATTTCTCAAAAAATAAAAAAACTACGCCATGAAATCGAAGCAGTATAGTTGGATTTTCCGATCATATGATACCCAATACGAATATTCCCAAACTTTAACATTCTGTGTACATAAATATAAACACAATTAAAATTCCCCTTTTCATGGTCAAACTAATAACAATAATCACTTACGGTAGTATTCAGCTAAGTGATTATTGTTGTTTCATTGCAATACAACTACCCCGCCACATTAAAGAAATATTAAATTAAATACCCCATAGAATAAAAAAACTTATCTTTCTACACATTCTTACATACACATATCTATTTGACATACTTTAGTAATCTGCAATTTGTTCTCTTTTTTTTTCTTTTCTTTCTACTCCCACATAATCATGTTTGTTGCTCATCTTCTACATATATGGACCTGCCTGTCATTTACACACATATCTACTTATCGTTTTGGGATACATTTACTCGGCTGTGACGTTACCTCGCTGGGCTGCAGAGCGCCGCTGTGGCCGATGCATTATATAATGTGGAGTGGTACAAGTGCGATGTTAAAACTAGAAAAATCATTTTAATGATATTGCACCGATCTCAGAAGGCAATAACAATTTCTGTGCCATTTTTTACGCCATCACTGCCGGCCTTCAGTTCGGTAAGTAATATAAAAAAGCAGAAGAAAAAATAAAAATACTATCAAGGGAAAAGAAGTAAAAACAATATGTTCGGCCGGGACGAACTTTTTATGCCCTCCACCATGTGAAAATTTCTTAAATTCGTCGGGATATTTATATGGGGTCTATTTTATTGCATTATGTGGTAATAGGTTGGTCATGCTCTGAAATAAATAATGTTCCAAATTATAGACACTCAGGTTACGATATTAATTTTGGGAACTTCATCATAACAAAAATTGAAATGGACCCCTGACCAATGGGTCTATTTTAAAAAAATTAGCCTATATTAAATAAGTTGTGGAAATATTTATTCAGCAGGAATCCGATATGAAAAATTCTAACCACTTCGATGAAAAAAAAAATCGGCTTAAAAACATTATAATATAGAAAATGGGCCTGGATCTTTTTATTGGGGCTAAAGATTCTGGCCCATGGAAAGAAGTTTTCATTCAGCAGGAATACGATATGCCAAATTATAACCACATGGATGAGAACATTGGGTCTAGAAATCCTTTCAATCAAGAAGTGGCTCGCAATATCATTCGGATAGTTCCTGGAGAACTTCCGGATGAATTTGGGGTTCTTCTTGATCAAAATGAACTCTTATTCCGTGATGGAGTCACTATCCCGTCCGATGAATCGGTTGCAGTAGTTATCCGCTCTCCGGTAAATCTTCTTGGTGTTGACTTGCCTTACAGGTACTGGTACTGATGATTCAACCATCTTAACGACGGGAGTCTCATCAATACCAGTCTTCGCTTCGACAGTCAACTGCCTAAGAAGTCTCCCGACGTCACTACAAGCCATGGAGATTGAGTTCGGATTCTCAACCTCGCTAGGGTTTACACCCCTACTCATCATCTGAGAGGACTCACCTTGCTTCGGAGGAGACATCAGGATCGCTACCTTTTGTGTCACCGTAGTGTGCTAATCACTGCAGTTTCCATGATGTCTTCCTCGTCTGACAAGGTTTAGTTTCCCAGAGTTTATTCGGGATGCTCTCCTGACTAAGGCGGAAGGAGCCGGTTTCCTCTAATAAGTTGAGGAGAAGATTCGATTGCCTCTCCAGGACATGAGGCAAAAGCGAGGTCCAGGGGATTAACTTGGGTCGTCAACATTTGTGGGGGTTAATTGAGGTCTGACCTTGTAGAGTTCGAGACTAAGGGTGGCAAGGCAGCCACACATGGACTTATATACACACAATTTTCCGAAAAATGTGTTTTAGCCTCTCATATTCCGATATACTGAATTCCAGCCGTTACAATTGGAAAAAATTGGCTAAAACTTTAAAAAAGTCTGCTAATGGAGCGCCAGATTTTACATAGGAGCTATGTCGACCTATATTCAACATTCTTTATATATGTGTAAATCAGGCTTCAAGAAGCATTTAATCCAAATTACAGCCAAACATGGACCTATATATAGAAATTTTTTTCCTTAAAATTCCGATATCCTAAATTTCACTACAATTGGAAAAAAATGCATAAACCTTTAAAAATTCTGACAATGGGGCGCCAGGCCTAATATGGAGGCTATGTCGAAATATGGACCTATATTCAACATTTGCTGCATCAAATCGGAGGAATATATATATAAATATGTGGGATCTACATAGAAATCTGAACCGATCTAAAACTTACCACACATCATTCTCGACTCAATTTAATACGCTACGACAAATATCGTGCAAATCCGAAGATATATAGGGACTTTGGTGCACCATTTATATAAAATCGGACGAAGATATATATGGGAGCCATATCTAAACCTAAACCAATTTTCAAGAAACTTAACACACATCGTTCTAGGCACAATTCAGTGCGCTATGCCAAATTTCGTGCAAATCAAGGTTATATAATACTGTGGTCCACTATTTACATAAAAATCTGAACCGATTTCCACGAAATTTAACACATATCGTTCTAGACTTAATTCAGTACACTATGCCAAATTTCGTGCAAATCGAATGATATATAGGGACTTTGGTGCTCTATTTACCTAAAATCGGACGAAAATATATATGGGAGCTATATCTAAATCTGAACCGATTTTTTACGAAATTTTACACACATCGTTCAAGACTTAATTCAGTACGCTGTGCCAAATTTCGTGCAAATCGAAGGGTATATAGGGACCTTGGTGCACTATGTACCTAAAATCGGACGAAAATATATATGGGAGCTATATCTAAATCTGAACCGATTTTTCCCAATTTCAATAGGGTTCGTCCTTGGACCGAATAAGTGACCTTTGCCAAATTTCATCCAATTCGGATTAGAAATGCGTCATGTACTTTGTTTACAATTTAACATGGACAGACGGACGGATGGACGAACGGCGGAGATGCATAAAACGACTTAATAAGTGATTCTATGCATATTCTCAAAAGGAATCATGTGTCTATCTCGTTTCCTTTTGCCTGTTACAAACATATGCACAAAGACATACTACCCTGTACCACAGTGTGGTGAAGGGTATAATTAGAGCCAATTAGTTTGAAAACCCTGCTAAAGATCCCCAAAATACCGAATATTGGGGGTGCCACTATATGGGGGCTACCCGGAATCTTGGGTCAATATTGATAATTTTTGGTATGGAGATTTACTATTCAATGAGAAAGCTATTTACTTAATTTTAGCTAATTTAGTCAGAAAACGTCCCCAAGATCCCTTAAATGCCGAATATTATAATCTTATATATATAATCTTATAATCTTATATATAATCTTGGGCCGATATTGATCATTTTGGGTTGGGAGATTTTCTACCCAATAAGAACCCTTAATATCAAAGTAAGCCAATTGGCTCACACAAGATCCCCAAAATATCAAATATCGGGGGGTACTTTTATATTGGGGGTACCCCGAAAAATAGGCCAATATTGGTAAAACGTATTCAATATCCCCAAAATACCAAACAATGAGGGGTACCGTTTTATGGCGGCTACCCGGAATCTTGGGCCAATATTTATAATTTTTAGTGCGAAGATTTATTACCCATTGAGAACCCAAAATACCACATTACAGTCAATTTGGTTGAAAAATGTGCCCAAGATCCCTGAAATACCGAATATTCGGGGGTATCGTTATATGGGGGCTACACCGAAATATATGCCAATGTTGGTAATTTTTGGTATGAAAATTTTGTACCCAATGAGAACTCAAAATATCAAATTACAGCCAGTTCGGTTGAAAAACTTGCCAAAGATCCCCAAAATACCGAAAATTAGGGGGTAACGTCATATGAGGGCTACCCGGAATCTTTGACCAATATTGATAATTTTTATTAGTGAGATTTTCTGCTCAATGAGAATCCCAAACATCAAAATTTAGCCAAATTGGTTGATAAACGTGGTCAAGATCCCTAAAAAACCTTGATATTGATGGGTACCATTATATAGAGGCTACCCTAAAACTTATTATTTTTGGTAGGGATATTTTTTAGCCCATGAGAACCCAAAATTTCAAATTCAATAGCCAATTCGGTTGAAAAACGTGCCCAAGATCCCAAAATACCGAATATTGGGAGGTAGTATTATATGGGGGCTACCTGAAATCCTGCTCAATGAGAATCTCATATATCAAATTACAGCCCATTTGGTTGATAAACGTGCTCAAGATCCCCAAAAAAAAACGTGATATTGCAGAATATCGTTATATGGGGGCTACCCCGAAACATAGACCAATATTGGTAATTATACCCTACACAACTATGTTGTCAGGGTATTATAGCTTTGTGCAGCCCAAAAGTTTGTAACGCCGCGAAATATTGATCCTAGACCCACCTTTAAGTATACCGATCGTCATATCTCGACTAGCTGAGTCGATCTAGACATGTGTGTCCGTCCGTCCGTCTGTCCATTATAATATGTAAACACGATACAGGCCACAGTTATTGATCAATCTTCACGAAATTTTGCATGTAGGATGGGTTCTGGCCAATGAAGACACCTATTGTTTTTGGAAAAGATTGGTTAATATTTATTTTTGTCGGTTTTTCTGGTCGCTCCAGAGGCCGCAATTATGGCCCAAACACCGCGAATTTTTGCATGGAGAAGGGGATCGGGCCAAAGAATAAGCATGCCTGTTTTGACAAAATTGGTCAATATTTAGCGGGTCAAATGGACCCTGACTTTTGTGTGAAAAATGACAAAATTTGTATTCCATAGGGAATATATTTACTCCTGAAGAACATGAAACCGATATGTGAATATTATATCCAAGAGGAGTGGTCGACCTTTAAATCGACACCAATTTTATTGTCGTATGTATTCGGATGTGGGAGTTACACGTAAATATTTACAGGTGCTTACGTATGCAAATATTATTTAGTAACCCATTACCACACTAGAGGGCAGAAATATAGAGCTGATCGCTTTAAATGTTCTATGAGGTTTCACTTATGATCAAGGACAACGCCTATAATTTGCGGTGATGATCAGATAATAATTTTGGGATGAAGTGGACCGAAAATTTATTTTTTTGTGTTTTTTCGAGTCACTGTGAAGGGAATCTGGACAAGTAACTAGACGGGCTGTACTGAATTTTAGTAATGGTGCAAATATCGCGAAATATTGCCCAAGCTCAGAATATGGAACCACAGAAATTTATATTTTCGCGGAAGTTGTGTAGGGTATCATATGGTCGTCCACGTCCGACTATACTGCTCCGCTCACTGGTTTTTGGTTCAAAAATGTTCTACACATTTTTACTCCTAATATCAAATTGCAGCCAATTCGGTTGAAAAACTTTCCCTAAGATCCTCAAAATACCGAATATTGGGGGTACAATTACATGGCGGATACCCAGAAACTTGGGCCAATAATGCTCATTTTTGCTAGGGTATTTTTCTGCCCCTGGATAACCCATAATACCTAAGTACAGCCAACTTAGTTCAAGATCCCCAAAATACTTCAGATCGGGGGGTAGCATTATATGGTGGCCTAACCCGAAACTAACGTAATATTAATAATATTTGGTATGAAGTTGTTATACCTAATACCAATCCCAAGTACCACATTTCATGCAATTCTATCGATAAACGTGTCAAAAACTTCCAAAATACCGGATACTGAAGGGTACCGTTATATTGGCTATCCTAAAAAGTGGACCAATGGGAAGATTTTTGACCCACTGAGAACCCATAATACCAAATCACAGCAAAAAAATCTGTTGAAAAACGTGCCCAAGATCCCCAAAATACCGAATATTTGGGGGTACGGTTAGATGAGAGCTACGCCGAAACATGGGTCAATTTTGATAATTTTGGGTTGGAATATTTTCTACCCAGTGCGAACCTTAAATACTAAATTACATCTGATTAGGCTAAAAACGTACCAAAAAACATCAAAATACCGAATAGTGGTGGGGGGTCTTATATGGGGACTATCGTAAAAAGTGACCAATGTTAAAAATTGGCATGATTGTTCAACTATGAGAAGTCAAAACACTAAATTTAAGCCATTTTGGTTGAAAGCGAGCCATCAAACTGCAGAATATCACCCACTTAATATTCTGCAGGTTGATGATGGCTTCATATGGGGGTTAGCCTCAAAAGAGGATTGATATATCCCGTTGTCTATACTTAAAAACATACGAATAATAACAAAGAATGTGAAAAATTCTAAAGCTCTCTCTAAAAATTGCGAGCTGCATCGTGATTTCAACAAAGGACCGGACAGATGGACATGACAAAATCGATATGGAATTTTATTCCGACCCCAAATATATACAATTTATAGAGTCTAAGCTGAATATTTCAAAGTGCTGCAAACGGTATGACAAATTTAATATCCTCACCACCTTATAGTAAAGATTATAACGAGAAGAAGAAGAAATGCAAAAAAAAACCCAACGAAGGTGGTGGTCACGACAAATGTGTAATGGAAAAATGTAAGATAATGGTAATGGTATTCCATTCTGCTGGTAAACATCAGACGAGAGATGCCTTCCTTCGCTAACTCAGTTAAGATTTATGTTCGTTGGCATGTCAATAGACACTTGGAATATATTTACACAGGTTGACTATGAAGATAATATGGCTGAAGATGACTATGACGCAGGCCCTGAATAGTATGGCTGGAGTCCCCATAACACTAATGGTGGTTAGATGCCAGCCCTGCTGCTATGGACATTCTTGATAAATTGCACTGAACGATGTTTGAGGGTCTGAATGGGTGGTACCGGTTAAAGTCATTGTTTACCAGTCAACCAGCCAGCCTGCCTGGTTAGTTACTTTATTTTCAAGGCCTATGCTAAGACCCACCCACACACACACCCACAGAGAGGGATTTTATTTGCTTTGCTGTGCTTCATCATCATCGCCAACTCACTTCTTCTTTGTCGTCTTCCCCTTTGCTTAGTCTGCCTTTGCTGTAAGCCATTGTTGACGGAAGGTAAATTATGTTTCACTTATAATACGGGAAACATAAATAATAACGCCGAACTAAATGACGGTCGCATCGCCTTGTTGACAACCAGAACAACAGGAGGTGGGTGCAAAAAAAATGGAATGTTTGTTCCCCTTTTCTTTTCGTTGCTACTAAGCCCAAGTAAAGTGACCTTAAGTACCTAACACTTAAATGTGATTTCAAGGGCTTTTTTCTCGCTAGCCCATCTGAAGTGATTTTGCGGAAAAAAGGGGTTTGATTATAAGGGTCATTTTAGGTTTCGGTTTTTTTAATTACTATCAGCAGGAGGTTTATTAGCGAACTGAGGTTAATTATTAAGAAAAAAAAAATAATTTTAAAAAATTTCTATAAAAACAGGTGACTCGTGTCAAGTACAGATTTCGATGGGAAATTATTTAAAATTATTATGGAGGAGAAGAAGGTGCCAAAAGTTGGAACCAAAAATGTTTTATTTATCTTCTGGGCTAGGAACCTCAAAATTTATGAATATTAGGTGATACTTTGCATGTATGCTATTTAAATATATGGACATATATTAACCAGTGAGCGGAGCAGTATAGTCGGACGGGGCCGACCATAAGCTATCCTACACAATACAATAATTGCCTCTAGAGCGACTAGAAAGTCTGACAAAATTAATATTTTCGGTTCATTGCACCCCCTGAATGAAATCTCAATTTCACCGAAAACTATAGGCGTCGTCCTTGACCATAATCGCAACAACACGACATTTCCGTCCTCTAATGTAGTAATAGTAATACTATGCCTTCACCTAATTACGTACATCAGAGTACATACAGCCATATAATTGGTATCAATTTGAAAATCAACAACTCCTCTTGGATATACTATTACCTTCTCCGATATATGTCCTTCAGAAGCAAGTATATAGGCCCCAGAACAAAAATTGTGTAATTTTTCACACAAAAGTCAGGGTCCATTTGACCCGCTAAATATTGACCGATCTTTATCGAAACAAGGCATGCTTATTCTTAGGGCCGATCCCCTTCTTCATTTAAAATTTTACGATGTTCGGACCATAATTGCGTCCTCTGGAGCGACCAGAAAACCCAACAAATATTAAGTACTAGCCGACCCGGGCAAACGTTGTTTTGCCTTCAAATTATATTTCCATTGCAAGTCTGGTTACGTTGCAAAGTCATGGCAGATTTTTATTTCGAAGAAAAATAAAATGTGAACTAAATCAAGCAGAAGCAGAAAGATTTGCACCGTTTCTGGCCAATTTTTGTATTTTGAAGTGATTTGTGTTGTTAGTTCCTTATAATAGAAACAAATGTTTTCATCAAAAATACAAAAATCAAAATTGTAATAACACCCACAGTTTATTTTTTTTTTAATTCAATGTTAAAAATTAAAATTTTATGATAATAAATTAAGTTTTAGTTATATTATTCAAATTAAAACTACTGCAATGCTTTTTGGTAAACTACGTTTTTGGTTTTGCCTTCATGAGCGAATACAAATAAGGATGATGGGTTACCAACACGTGAGCAGCCAACGTATAGTTGTCCATGTGAGAAGCATGGAGTATGAAGATTCAGTCCACATACTTTCAGTGATTGTCCTTGTGATTTATTTATGGTCATGGCAAATGCCAGACGTACTGGAAATTGTATTCGTTTAAATGAAAACGGCATATCTGCGGGCATTATTGGTATTCGTGGAATCAATACGACTTCACCTTTGTATTTACCAGTTAATATAGTTGCTTCTATAATGTTAGTAAATAATTTTTTTATAGCTAATCTTGTTCCATTACAAAGTCGGGGTGGATTTAAATTGCGTAATAGAATTATTGGTACACCAACTTTTAACTGCAGCATGTGAGGTGGAGTTCCTGGTAAGTCAAGCGAATTTAAGAATTCAATTGGATAATTAACTATTTCATCAGGATCGTTAACACAATCAATGGATTTATATGTTTTTATTTCTCCTCTTATTTTATTTTGAATATCAACATTAATATCGCTAACATCTTTGTTTTTGGCTGCTAATATAGCGCGATCACTTAGCCATTGGTGATTGGTAAAATTGCGCTCAATATCGGGATATACATTTGAAATTAAGGCTTCTTTTGATTCTGTCAACACACAACAATCTGCAGGCAATGTGATGAGTCCCGTTACATTGTCCGTAGCAATTTTTCCGTTTCCAATATCCAATAATTGACGTGCAAATAAACGGGCTGATGCATGATTTTGCAATTGTATGCGCATATTTAATGTTAGTGAAAGTTTTTTAACATATCGCCACAAATGCGATGACTTTAAACACGCATTTAGTTCATCTGCTGGTGTTGATCGTGATAGGACTGGCAAGGTTTGTCTAAAATCGCCAGTCAATAATATAAGTGCACCCCCAAATGGTTGTTGATTATCACGTAAATCTTGCAATGTTCGATCTAATGCCTCTAGAGATTTTTTATGCGCCATTGTGCATTCATCCCACATAATAATCTTGCATTGTTGAAGTACCTTTGCCATCCCAGATGTTTTTGATATATTACATGTTGGTGTTTCGGTCAGTTGCATATTCAATGGCAATTTTAACGCAGAGTGTGCCGTTCTTCCACCATCTAATAGGGTAGCAGCAATCCCCGATGAGGCTATAGCCAACGCAATATTACCAACAGACCGTATTTTTGCCAAAATTATTGAAATTAGATAAGTTTTACCAGTACCACCTGGAGCATCCAGAAAATAAATTGCACCAGTTCCTGCATTTTCAGTTGTCATAATAGTGTCGAAGACGTGTTTCTGCTCTTTATTTAGGTTTGGTAAGTTATGCTCAACAAATGTGTTTAATGCATTTGCATCGTAATTTTGTTCGCGATGTATTTCACCATTAACAGCATCCGTAACGGCTCGACTTGGAGATGTCATTCCCAATGTATTCAACGTTTTATTCACCATTTCTAAAACAAATATCCTCAATGTATATTAATGACTGATTGTACATCTCAGGAGAGTATTCTAATCCAGAAATTGTAGTTGCATCACGCGCTTGGTGTAAAATGTCATCTGTCATTTCATTTTTAAATTTTTCCCACAGTTCTAATGGGTTTGATGGACCGCATGTTGATAGTATAATTGCGAATAATATACGAATTTGATATGGAGAAGCTGCCAGTGAGGCTTCGGCAAGTGAATTTTCCCAATGGTCATCGTTGTCGAGTAAATTTAATTTTTGGCAGGCGTCCCGATATGATTCACACAATGTATTATTTATGGTTTTCAAATATTGGAATGATGTCGGACCACGTATATGAATCAAAAGCAAACGCAAGTAATAGCATTCATCATTGTTTGGATGTACAGTGTATAGACGTCCTAAAGCATCACTTGAAAATACATTTGGGTGGCCAGCTACTATTTTCCCTTGTTTGCGACGTTGAAATTGTTTGGTGGATACATTCCATGTAAAATATATCGGAACCTCATTATACAGTAGCGTTTTAGCGAAGTCATCGACTTGGCACAATGAAAAAAATGCAGTCAATGTTGTTGCTGGTGGTTGTGCTGCTCGCTCGATCACATTTTGCGCCGTAAAATATACTCGTTGACCATTTTCTAAATGAACAGCCAAATGAACTACAGTCGGATATCTCTCATGAATTGGAAAAGAGAATATGCGCCAAACTGCTTCGTTGCTGCTAATGTATCTTCCCATTTGATATTGTTTGATTTCATCTAGCTTATCTTCATGCGCCACTCCATAAATGGCCATATCACTGCCTTTATTTACATATTTACAAATGTATTTGATTGACTTGACGGAATTGCAATATTCAACGTTTATATGTGCTTTATATATTTTTGATAATAATGGAGAATATGGCACTACCCATCTATTATCAATTTCGATATCAGTGTTTCGTACTTTTAATGTAATTGATCTACCATTGTCATCTGGTGAACGACGGCGATATTGAGGGTATCCATCATTGCCTGTTATGGTTTCTGAAATCAATTGTCTTGGATATCGCTTAGAACACTTTCCATTGATCATGCATGGTGAGTGCATATTAAATGCACCACATGGGCCATGTATCATATTCTTCGTTACTATTTCGAATAGTTCTTGATCAATTGTTGGGTCTGGGATTTCAGCAGATATAATTTTATCTATTTCGTTTGGCTGAATTTTATCAACACACCAAATTAGAATATGAGCATGGGGCAATCCTCTTTTCTGCCATTCGATCGAATACATCCAGCAACGAACTGAACCAAAAACATTAGATTTTACAATTAAATCCATCAGAGACTTTAATTTTTGCTTAAATACGCGTGCTGTGATGTCATGACGATCAGTTTGCGATTGTCCTGGCAATAACCATTTTTTGATTTCATTCCA